AGTTTGAAATACATATAATATTATATAACACATATGTATTATATATAAAAATATTTATTTATTTAATTTTTTTTGAAAAAGAATGAATAAAAGATGAAATTATTAAATATTTTATATATTATAAAACATACTTATGATCCGGAAATTTAGAAGATATTCCTTCCATTAATAATTTCTCGACATTTTGATCCCATTCGGTAACAAGGTCAACTTCACAGGATTTTGTCATTGCATCCTTAGGTTGATTAATTTTTTCCCTCACAATCTATAAGATTCACAATTGAAATATAATTACAATTTTTGCATCAAATATAGGTTTAATTAGTATTAATAACAAAATAATATTAGATAAATAACAATTGTTATAAAAGTATTTATTATAAGATAATTATATTAATTATATTAATTATAATATCGATACGTGTTATCTATTATGTATTTGAAAAAATTCTATATAAATAATTATCTAAGAATAAATTCATTTAATTAATTCATTTTCATAAAAAAAAATTTGTATTATAAAAATATTAGATATTTAAAAAAACTTTATTAAATAATTAAGAAAAAAATTTTTGAAAAATTTGGTTTATCATTATTTTATGATATTATTATTTATAATAGCTAAATTATTCAATTATTAATAATATATTTTACATGTTAGAAATTAATTTAATATTCAAATTTTTACATTGTATAAATTAATTTTTTTGAATTATGATCTATAAATATTAGAAAATTAAATATTAAATTAAAAATTAAATATATAAATCTATAAATATTAGAAAATTATTACAATTATAGGTTATGTATAGAAATCGTATTGAATTATCATTATATGTAATGTATAATAAAAATTTTATCAGTTCAATAAATTTCCTTGAAAATAAATATATTTATATCTATAAATTAATGATATTATCTATTATATTTTTCCTAGATGAAAAAAATATATATAATATTCTATGTAAAATATTCATTTACATTAGAAAAATAGATTAAAATAATACATTGATTAGTTTCATATCATAATTAACATTACATTAAATATGAAGTGATTTTAAAACAATTATTAAAATTATTATTTATTTATCATACACAATTTTGCATTCTTGAATACTGCAAAAAAATACTGTAAAACAGATATATTTATTAAATAAAAATTTAATTGAAATATAAAAATCAATAAAGCTTGTTAGCAAGATTCAAAACAAGATTCAAAATAAAATATAATAAAATATAAGTTGCTCTAATATTTGTTTAATTCCATCAAAAAAAAAAGGATCACTTACCGAACCAGCTTCTAATACTAATCGAAGAACGACTGTATAATATTTATCAGTATTCGACATGATTTGTCAAAATATTTGAAATATGTAATAAAAAAAAAAGCACAAATTTACACTTCAATCATAAACCGGTGCAAGTTATATCGTCATATACACAATGACAATGGTTAGAATCTGTAACTGTAACTGACGTAACCTTAACATCTTGTCAACTGCTTCTAAAAACTATTTTTCCGTTACGGAATTACAAATAAAAGCGACAGTAGCGCCCTGGACTTTGTAGAAATATTTATTCATAATATATAAATAATTCCTTCGTAATTAAAACATTTAAAATATAGAATTAGATAAGGGAAATAAATAAAGTATCAGATTAATTTTTAATTATTATTTTGTTTGATTTTAAATCTAAAAGGTTGATAATATTTTGTTTAATTATAATCTAAAAGATGAAATTTAAAAAAGTAATTAGAAGAAGAATTATTATTTGATCGTTTATTATATTTAATAATTAAATTCCATGAATTATGATACAAAATAATTATGATTAATTATGATAATTATGATAGATGAAAAAATAAACAGAAAATATAATATAAACAATATAACAAATTTGTTTATATTTTATTTGCTTTAAATGATTTTTAAAATTTTATAAATTTTATAATTTTTTATTTACAAAATGTGTTTTGCAGATAGAGTACAAAATTTTTCTTCGATATTAGCAATATAAATTTAAATTTTATATTTTCTTAATTGAACGAAATGATTTGAAAGAAAAAATTGAATATACATGAAAAAATGAAAAGAATGAATTAATAGAATAATTTCATATAAATAATAATAATTATGAGTTTTTTCTTGTTATTTAGGGACGACTTTATATATATTTATTTGCAAATTTAATGAGATCTAGGTTAAAAAATTCTATGTATATGAAGTAGTGGCAGATAAATAATAGAAAAAATTTACTTATTTTTTAACATGAATATATTTACATTTAAATTTTGCATTATTTTGTATAATTTATATATATAATTATATTTATATAATTATATATAATATAATTATTATATATTTTTTTAATACATATATTCTTATTAAATCTATAGTTACTTTGTTCCGCGAGGAATGATATGTATGTGACATGCCTTTATTAAAAGGCAACTTCTTTATTAGATACAATGTAACTCACTTTAGATACAATTATAAAACCAGCCATCTAAAAAATTACAGAAAATGCAAACTTTCTTTTTATAAAGTGCGTTAATAATCGTGCGTATACTTAAATTTTCTATTTCATGTCATAAAAAAATTTTTTTTAAATTAAATAATTTGTTTTTATGTTTTCATAATTTTTTTTTTAAATATATTTCACATATTCTTAAAAATTAAAAATTAAGGATTGAATTGATGAACTAGCTATCTTATTTCTAATAAAATTACAGATCTTTTTTTACAATATTTTTTTAAATATGACATGAATTGCAATACTTTCATAATTCCACTTTTACTTTCAATTGTAGATAAATTTTTTTGTAAAAAAACTAATAATTTTGAAATAAAAATAATTAAAATGCGTATGAATATTACAGGCATTTAAAATTTAAGAAAATAAGTTTATGAGATCTAAAAATGATTTATAAGTGATTATAATTTAAAAAAAATTTTTAAAGATAAACTGAATTTTTATATTATAATATTTTTAAATAATTTGGAATATTAATATAATATATAATTAAAATTTATGTTTTTGTAAAATTTTCAAATTTTCAATTTACTTCATTATTTGTAAAAATGAAGAGAAATTATTTAAAATTATTTAAAAAATTATGCATCATAGAGCATATTACAAAGTTTTTAACAAAGATTGTTTATTACACATTTTTCGATTTTTAATATGCTTTTATATTTATAAAATATTGCTGCTAGAAAATCGATCAGTATGCAACAATTAACATACAATTATAATTGATTTTTGGAAAAATTTTAAATAGATTTAGCATAATTTCAACTCTTTAACAGATATTCTAAAATATTTTTTTAACTTCATGATTAACCTTTTTTTTTATAATTATGTAAAATTTATAATATTATTTTAACATGTTATTTTAACATCCAGTTGTATTTTAAACTAATAAAAAAATAATAATTGAATCTTTTATATAAATTTTTCATTTTTAAGTAATACAAATGATAATTTATCAAACTATCTTTCAAATGAACAATATATATATCGATGAAATTCAGTTAAAAATAATATTGGTATAACTATATAATAATTCATTATGAAATAATTCATAAATAATACTATAAATAATTAGTAATAGATGAAAAAAGATCCTAACATATAAAATAAATATCTTATTCTTAGAAATTGTTTAACTTATTTTCTTAATTATAAGTTAATAAAAATTGTTTTTTCTTCTTTTTCTTGATAAATTATACATTTCACTAAATTTTAATATGTATTTCTCATATTTACTTTTTGCAAGAATTATAAATTAAAAGTCATATATCAATTATTTATCGATCATTGGAAATGTATTATCATTTATTTCTAAACTACTATATTCTCATTGAAAATTGCTATATTGATTTAAATTTGATTTAAATTTGTGGCCTTAACTCGAAAAGAGTATTGACAATGTTTTCATCAGCTAATGTTGATATATCGCCGACATTTCTATCTCCTGCTGCGATTTTTCTAAGTACACGTCTCATAATTTTTCCTGATCGAGTTTTTGGTAATCCTGGAGCAAGTTGAATAATATCCGGTTGAGCGAAAGGACCGATTTGTTCTCGTACTATTGATATATTCAAATTATTAATTTTATTAATTTCAATTAATAAATTTAATTATTAATTTTATAATAAATGTATATAATACATAATATGTTACATAATATATTATTTATAATATATTATTTATACATAATATATTATTTATAATTTATATATTGCATATAAAAAAATTTTATTAAAAATTTACGAAATTTCATAATAAAGATTTTTTAAATCATGTATTTATTTATATTTATATATTTTATTATATATTTATAATTACCTTTATTTTTGAGCTCATCTTGAAGTTTTTTGTCAAATTTAATACCTTCATTAGGGGTAATAAAACAATAAAGACATTGTCCTTTTATAGGATGAGGCTTACTAACTGCTGCAGCTTCAGCTACTGAAGAATGTTCTGTTAATATATTTTCTACTTCTGCTGTAGACATAAGATGACCAGAAACATTTAACATGTCATCAATACGACCCGTTATCCAGAAATAACCATCTGCATCACGTCTGGCACCTGAAATTAGAAAAAATATACTCTTATTTATGTATAGAAAAAAAATATATAGAATGTAAAACTATAAAATCTAATATAAAACCCATATGTGAGATATTAATTTCAGAAAAAAAGAAAGAATAATTCTTTACATTTTATGAAGAAGGAAAATGAAATTATTTAAATTCACATTAAAAAATTGAAAAGGAAAAATATGCATATGTTAAATTTCAATTGTTTTTGTTTAAAATGGTCACAATCATAATTCAATTTATATTTTCATTAAAAAATTTTCAGTAGTAATCATGTATTTTCATCAACTATATTAGAATCTTTTCAATCTTTCTTCCTTCATAAAAATTCATATCTTAACAGATTTTAAATAAATATTATATATAAACGAATTTGAAAGAATATATAAAATGCCTATTCAAAAGGTTAAAGCACGTCAAATTTTTAACTCTAGAGGTGATCCAACTTTAGAAGTAGATGTAATTACAGACGTTGGATTATTAAGATCTTCGGTGCCATCAGTACTAGTACCAAATCCTAATCAAGCACAAGAATTAAGAGATGGAAACGAAGCTATGTATCATGGACGTTCAGTATTCAGAGCCGTTGATGTGGTCAATAACATAATCGCACCGCAACTTTTGAAATCGAAATTGGAAGCTTGTCAACAAACAGAAATAGATAGTTTATTAAATCGTTTAGATGGTACTGAGAATAAATCAAAATTAGGCGCGAATGCAATTCTTGGTGTCTCTATAGCTTGTTGTAAAGCTGGTGCTGCGAAAAAAGGACTTCCAGTTTATAGGTAATTTTTATAGATTCTTGTAAAAAACTAAATTGCATAAATCAACTTTAAAATATATTTATATCTTAATTTTTCGGATGGTATAGATATATTGCAGAATTGGCTGAAAATGGAGATCTTTATGTACCCGTTCCTAGTTTTAATATGATTAGCGGAGGTAGACATGCTAATAATACATTACCATGTCAAGAATTTATGATTATACCTATAGGTATTCTCATTTTTTTAAAATTAAATATATTTTAATATATTTAAATATATATATTTGTAAAACCATAGCCAAGATTCAATATTAAAGAATAAATTATTTTAAAATTTCGATACTAATATAAAGATTAATACTAATATAAAGATTCTATATAATTATATATTTTTATCTAAATGCCTATTTTTCTTCCTTATATATTTTCTTATATATTTCCTTTATATATTTTCTTCCTTATATATTTATATATTTTATAAACATATTAGGAGCTGAAAGTTTTGCCGATGCTATGAAAATGGGTATGGAAGTATATAGAGTACTCGAACAAAAGATTGCGACTGCTCAAGAAATTCAATTACCTCTTCCAGTTAGCGATGAAGGTGCATTTACACCTCTAGAAATTGAGGAAGATAGAGAAGCTTTATTATTGTTAGATGAATCTATTAAAGATGCAGGTTACGAGGGAAGAATTAAAATTTCGTTGGATATGGCAGCCAGTGCTTTTTATAAAGAAGGTTTAATAAAAATTAAAATTTATAAGACATATATAATATTATTTTATATTTTATATATTAATAATAATTTAATAACATTTAATAGAATTTTGTATATATTTAAAAATTAAACAATAAAAAAATTATTTTAAGAATTAAATATCTAATGTCATTTATAAATATATCTTTTTTCTAGGAGGATACGATTTAGCATTTAAAACAGAAGAATCTGATCCTGACGAATATATGGAGGCAGAAGCATTAAAAGATCATTACTTAGAGTATTTTACAGAATTTCCATCTGTAGTCTCAATTGAAGATCCATTCGATCAAGAAGACTGGGAAGGTTGGCTTACTTTAGCTGATCAAGATATGCAAATCGTTACTGATGATTTAACTGCAATGAATATCGACAGAATTGAAGAAGCAATTGAAAGACAAATGGCCAATTCTCTTATATTGAGATTATCACAAATTGGAACTGTGACTGAGACAATCAATTGCGCAAAAATAGCCAGGATCAGTAATTGGGGATATATTGTGACAGCTTGTGAAGGAGAAACAGAAGATAATTTTGTAGCTGATTTAGCTGTAGGATTATCTGCTGGGCAATTTAAAGCTGGAGCACCTTGTAGAAGCGAAAGAACTGCTAAATATAATCAAATATTAAGAATTGAAGAGGAACTAGGAAAAGATGCGAAATATGCTGGTCTCAATTTCAGAAATCCTTTAGCTAAATAATTTTTTGTTCCATATTAATTTTTATTCATCTGAATTTAAAATTAAAACTCACCATCTCCAGTACAATAGTATCCATAAAATCTATCAAAATATGTGTTTTGAAAACGTTGATGATTTCCATAAAGAGACCGCATCATTCCCGGCCAAGGTTGACGAAAAACAAGATATCCCTCACCTTCACCTTCGATTAATTGACCATCTTCATCCAGAATTTCTGGCAAAACGCCAAAGAATGGGAATGTCTAGCAAGAATAATGTTAAATGGATTAATAAATTATATAATTTATCAAGGTTTGATAACAAGAAATTCAAGATACAAACTTACTGCAGAACCTGGTTTCATTGGCGTAGCACCAGGAAGAGGGGTGATTACATGGCCTCCGGTTTCTGTTTGCCAAAACGTGTCTGATATACTGCATCTACCATTACCAATAAGATTGTAAAACCATAACCAAGCTTCAGTATTTATTGGCTCTCCAACCGAACCTAAAATCTAAAAAAATAAATTATTTTAAAATTTCGATACTATAAAGATTATATTCTATATAATATATATTCTTATAAATGCCTATTTTTCTTCCTCTTTTTTTTTTTTTTTTAATTCAAATTTACCTTTAAAAAGGATAAATCATGTTTCTTCACCAAATCATCTCCAAATTTCATTAATGATCTAATTGCAGTCGGCGCAGTATAAAATTGTGTAACTTTGTATTTTTCGATAATTGTCCAGAATCGATCATTTTTTGGATAAAATGGTGTTCCTTCAAACTAAAAATCATAAATTTATCATTATCAACTTATTGCAATATGAATAATTATATTCATTTTCAATCGAAAAAAATCATTAAACAATTACAATAATGGAAGTAGCTCCATTTGCCAATGGACCATATACAACATAAGTATGACCAGTGATCCAACCAATATCAGCTGTGCACCAATATACATCGCCTGGGTGATAATCAAACACATATTTAAACGTTGTGGCTGCATAAATTAAATATCCAGCAGTGGTATGAAGGACACCTTTTGGTTTTCCTGTGGAACCACTATAAAGAAAAACAATACAAAATTATACATATATGAGGTATATTATACTTTACATACACACACGCATGCGCATATATATATATATATATAAGTATATATATATATATTTGAGACATATCGTTTATGTTTAACAAACATTTTTCAAGGATTTTCGATAATATAATAAAAAAATGTTTGAAACAAAACTTTCAATTTTTGATCAATATATGTTTATTTAAACATTAAAAATTTTCAAAAAATTTATTTATATAAAAGCCTATTTATTTATATTTAATTATGTGATTTGATTTAATAAGAAATATTAAATAATTTTTCATTAATATTATAGTTACATTGATCAAATCTAAATTTGTATCATTATCTCAATATAATAGTAAATCATTGAATTTATAGTACTGGAATATTATGATACCATTTAAAAAAAGTTAAGGTAATTGTATAATCATTTTTTTTTTTAAATTTTATTTTTTATCACATTGTCAAAAATGCTTGAAAAATATTAATTAAATGCTAATATAAAGTATATAAATAATTACTCTTTTGTTGGAAAGTTTACCTTGTATATAGAATAAAGAGTGGATCTTCTGCATTCATCCAAACTGGATAACATTTATTCTCAGCCTCTTCCATTTCGTCGTGCCACCAAACATCACGATTATTGTCCCATGCAACTTGAGGAATGTTGTAGTTATATCCATCACTTTCACTGTTCACTCCATTTGTTTTCCCTTTAGCATAAATTTAAAAAAGTTACTTTCTATTGATTCTTCTTTCTTTTTCTTTTTTTTATTTTAATCATCTGCAAAAATTATGATTTCTCAATCTTGAAAAAATTTAATAGAAGAACATTTCAAGAATAGAAGAATATTTTAACTGTGATATTTTTTATTTATATTAATTATGTCTTTAGTTATATCTATCTCGATTTTTATGATCCACGTTAATCATTATTAATGATCATTATATAAAAAAAAATTTTTTTTCATACCTAATATATCTGATTTGGCATTTTGTGGATTAGTTAATCTTTTTAGATGTGACACTACTATACAACATTCAACCTCGTGACCATTCTTTTTAGCTTTATTCAAAGCCTCATTACAAATAGCCTTTAATAATAAAAGTTTCTCGCCTCTCCATACTCCATCAGTCGTAATCAAAATTTTCGATTTTGAATCCAAGATACGTTCTGCTAGTGAATCCGCCGAGTATCCACCAAACTAATTAAATATATGTACAACATTAAAAATTTAAAAAATATCGATTTTGATTAGGATTATATATATATTATATAAGATTATATATATTAAGACATATATATGTGTATATTTTTTATTTTGTGTCATACCAACATCAATAATTTCTATATTTATAAAGTAACATCAAAACAAATTTTGTTATAATTTTATTATAATAAAAATAAAATAGTAATGTATTATTATTATTGTATATATTTGATAAAATATAACAATATAAAATAAATATTATTTAAAACTTTTGTTTATATGTATATGTATTACATATATCTATATGACTTGTATATAATTTAATTTATTTTTAATAATAAAATAATATAAACTTGTATGAAAGAATGTTACTTAAATATAAATAAAATATATATTTTATATATTTATAATTTTTTTAATAAAACTATAATCATTATATTATTTTTTCATTTTTATTTTTATTAGCATTAATAATTATTTAATAAAAAAAATTATATACCACTACACTGTGAATAGCCCCAATTCGAGTACATGCGAGCATGACGATAGGTAATTCTAAAATCATAGGCATGTAAACGGCGACGCGGTCTCCTTTTGTCACTCCTTTCGACTTCAAAACATTTGCACATCTGCATACTTCTTCCAATAATTTTCTGTATGTTAATCGTGAATAATCATCTGGATCATTTCCCTCCCTGAAACAAAATTATACAAATTATATAATATATTGTTTTGTCATTGGACTGATATATCCATATTATAAAATAGTATACTATTTAATTAACATAATAAAATATTCATAATCTTAAAGAAAACGAATGATACAATCATTTGAAATATATATATAGTTTCTGCATATGAAAAAAGTTTATATGAAAATTATCTGATTTTATAGTATTATACAATTACAATATTAATTTATATGCACAGAATGTAATTATACTTTAATACTTTAATAATACTTTTATTCATACTTTTATTCAATCAATTTTTATCACGAAAATATATATTATACTTGTATTATACTTATACACATATGTATATGTATTGTATTTACTTATACATATAAATAATGTCCAATAGATTTGGCTTTTTCAAAACAAGATTTCGTACATTTATCTCAATGTTCCATTGTTGTGGATAATAATCATGCTGTATATCATATAACGTACATAGTGTAATAAATTTCTATGTTTTAAACATTTCTTTGACGAATTTTATTAATTGAGAATAATTTATATACTATATATATTTTTTAAATATATTATTTTGATATTATTAAATGTGCAAATAAGTTTCTTTTTCTTTTTTTCTACGATCATAATTTCTATATGAATTCGAATTACTTTCTGTGTGTTATCTGAAAAAGTATTCTTTTATTTTTAAGAAGAAACGTGATGAGCACTCTAAAAGTTTTCAATCCTATGCAACAATTTCAAACAATATAGCATGTGAAAAGTATCATTTGCATCACTGTTTACTCTTTGCATTCCAGCTTAGGAAATCAGCTGTGAAAGCTACTGAAATAGTTTATGTTGCATTGGGAGAGAATGCTGTATCTTACAGAACATGCAAAAAGTAGTACTAAAGATTTAAAGCCGGAAATATTAATTTGGAAAATGACGATCGTTCAAAAGCATCGAGAAAGTTTGATGACAGAGAGTTAGAAGAATTGCTCGACGAAAATCCGATTCAGACATAAAAAGAATTGGCAAAAAGATTGAAAGAATCACCAGACAAGCAGTATCTATCTGACTGAAATAATTGGGTAAGATTCAGAAGTTAGAATGATGAGTCTCATATGAATTAAGTGAAATGAATAAGGAAAACAGACTCAAGATTTCTGCTATCTTGTTTTCATGGCATAAAAGAAAAAGTTTTTTGCACAAAATTGTTACTGGCAATGAAAAATAAATCTTAAGTGATAATCAAACGATGGAAATTATGGGTTAATCCTGGGGAATTGTCAATTTCAATTGCATTGCAAAAAAGTTTTGCTATCTATGTAGTAGGATTTCCGAGAAATCATTCATTATGAATATACTTTCTTTATGTGTTAAGATGGGAAGTTCTATCATATGCGATATATTTTTTAGATCTGACTCCATCAGACTATCATCTTTTTCAAAATCTGCAACACCAATTGTCGGGAAGCACTTCAACTTGGAAGAAGTTGATGATTTCATAAGCAGCAAGCAATCATCATTTTTCAAGGATGGAATTTATAATTTATCCACTAGATGGAAAAAGTTATAAAGAATGAGAGTAAATATATTGAAACATATTTGATTTATTTAATAAAATCTTGAATTTGGCAAAAAAAAAGGGAAACAATTTATTTATACACTTAATATATAAATAACATAAATTAATTATAATCAAATTGCTTATTACATTTCTGCATGATCTCATTTATTTTATGAAAAAATAAAATAATTATATTGAAAATAAAAAATTCTAATAATGATGAGGTACATTAAACATTTTTGTTTCAATATTTAAAAAATTTTTTCAGATTATCACAAAAAATATAACAATAGAATAAACCTTGAATTTGATATTAAAAAAAAAAGTTTTTTATATTGTTTTGTAATTATTCATTATTATATTATATTATTATATATATTATATTATTATATTAATAATTATTTATTATTATTTATATTATATATATTATATAAGATGTGATTATTAAGATGAAAAAATAAATTGAAAAAAATTATAATTTTTTTATTTATAATTTTTTTCTAATTATATAAATAATTAATAAATTTTTTGTTAAGTGATATTCTTCATTAAAAAAAATAACTTTTATCTATTTTTCTCTATTTCTTATACTTTGCGAACTGTGTGAATTATAACATCAAAAAATAATTAAACTT